ACTGACCTTTTCCATATTTCCTCATGATCAAAACATCTCTAATACCTTCAGTTGCTAGAGTATTTTCATTTGCAAATTTCATTGTATTCTTTATTGAGGGTTTCATGTTGACAAACCAATATTTCCTTCCAGACATGTGTGACGAGCATCCTGAATCCAAGTACCATTGGTCCTTGAATTTCTCTTCATATTTTGTTGTAACCATCAGCATCATCTCTTCTTCTTCATAGTTTGCGAACTTTGCATCACTTTCTTGATTCTTTTGCTTCTCTGGACAATCACTAGAATAGTGACCTTACTTCTAACAGTTGAAACATTGAATGTGACTCTTGTCATGTTTACAACTACCACCTCTTTCTCTATTTACAAAACCACCTCCTTGGTTGCCTTGGTATGATCTTCTCTGATTTGACACATTTCCTTTGTTCTAGTTTTCTCTACCAGTCAAATTATTGTATCCTCCTCTACCTTTGTCGAATCACTTTTCTTTGTCTTTGGTTTCTTTTTTTGAATGTGCCTGCAAAGCCACGTCACTCTTCGACTTGCCTGCAGCTCTTTCAGTCATTCTTTATTCATGAGATTTAAGCGTTCCTTGAAGCTCTTTCTTTGTCAATTTCGACAAGTTTTTCCCCTCTTTTATAGCCACCACTACGTGGTCAAACTTAGGAGCCAAAGATATCAAGATTTTCGAAATAACAGCTCTTGTTGTTAATATTTCTCCATATATCTTGATTTGATTCACTAGTTTTGTAACCATAGTAAAGAAATCATATATGCTCTCACTATCTTCCATCTGAAGAAATTCATACGTTCTTTTGTGAGTTTGTAACCTCACTTCTTTCACCTTTTATGCACCACCAAAAGACTTTTCAAGAACCTCTCAAGCTTCTTTTGCAGATTCTGAATCACTCACTTTAAAAAAAAAATAGACTCAGACATTGATGAATTATAAAGAGTGCTTCATAACTCAACTTTTCTGATTCTGTGTGTTTCTTCTTTTCTTCTTCTGAAGCGTTTTCTCCAAGTGCTTCCAATCCATCCTTTACAAGATCCCAAAGACCTTGACACCTGAATAAAACTTTCATCTATTTGCACCAATTCTCATAGTTGTCTACTTTCAGAATTGATAGAGTTGTCGGATAATTCACATTCCCATAACTCGTCATCGTGAATTCTTCTTCTTCCTCAATCGTTCTTGATCGATACTTTCCTTGAATCGATTAACCAGAGCTCTTGATATCAGATGTTAGAAATCCACCAAATATCTATGATGAATTTCTACCAATCTTGATAAACAAGATTGATATCACCACACAATGACAATGAATTAAGAGAAAAGAAAAGAAAAGAAACAAGATAATTAATTTTCTGTAGAGTTTCTCTTTGTCCACAAATTGTGGAAAACTTTATTATTCATCTGCAACTGTAAATTTTGTGAATACAAAGAATTGACTTGATTACAAAAAAATAGGAGTTACTCCCTCTATTTATAGATTTATGTTAGCTTGCTCCCAAAGGCAAAGCCAAAAACTATAAAAGCCCAAAATATCTATTTTGGAACTAAATCAAATATATTCTATTTTAGATATAAATTAAATCTATCTAAGTCTAAAATAAATCTAATATGTCGAGCAAACTGTTTCGACAATCTTTAATTTTTTGACACACATATAGTTTCGACACTATGAATTACAATTTAACAGCTCCTAGAGTGTGTCCATATCATAAGAAAATCAAGAATGCATATTTTGAAAAGAAAAGTTAGTTACGAAGGTTATCTTCATCCTCTCCACTATTTTTCTCTTCAAGGCTCATCCATGGCATAATCCTTCAAGTTCTCACAACCTGCAATTCATATGTTTGCACAACATGCAATTATGTATTATGTTGTATCGAAGAATCTAATGACGTTACAACACTAGCCATAAATGAGTTGCAAAGTAGTTTGTTGGTGCATGAGCAAAGAATGAAGGTTTGTCAAGAAAAGGAGGAAGAATAGGCATTGAAAGTGTCAAACTTTAGACGTAGATATGGGTGTGACCGAGGACAGGGAGGACCACAAATGCGTGGAAGAGGAAGACAGAGCAAATAATCTGATGACAAGGAAGAATTGCCTCTCGTGGCTCAAGAGGAAGTAAGCACACAGACTAAAAATGAGGTATTGTTCCTAGACTCAGGATGTAGCAATCATATGATAGGAACAAAAGAATGGCATTTTTATTTTGATATACAAAGGAAGAAGATAGATGCTAAGATTATCAAGTGTGTGCACTTGGGAATGAGTGATGAGTTCAAGGACTACAAGCTCTATGATCCAGTTAAGAACAAAATTATGGTTAACAGAAACGTTGTGTTTGAAGGTTCTAAAAGATGGAATGAGGCAAGCAATATTAGAAGCAGACAATATGGGAGCCAGCTAATCTACCTACAGGAGTTTAAAGCAAAGGTGTGAAGTGGATCTATAAGACCAAGTGCAATGAGAAAGGGTAGATTGAGAAGCACAAAGTGTCAGCTACTCACAACAGTATGGTATAGACTACAATCAAGTCTTTGCACTTGTTTCAAGATTCGATACTATAAGGGCTATCTTGTCATTAGCAGCATGCAAAAATTGATGTGAAGAGTATCTTCCTACATAGTGAATTAATTGAGAATGTATATCTTCATCAACCATTAGGTTATGAGAAATGGGGAAAATACAAGGTCAATAAAATGAAGAAGGCCATATGGGCTTTGACGAGCACCAAGAGCCTTATATAGCAAGATAAAATCTCACTTATATTAAGAAAAGTTTGAAAAGTGCCTTAATGAGCATGCTTTATTTGTGAAGCATAATTGTGATAAAATTTGGATTGTGACCTTGTATGTTAAGGATTTAATCTACAATGGAAATGATGAAAAGTTCAATGACAATGAGAAAAGTGAGATTTTTTTCTAGGAATTGAAGTGAAGCAATGTGAAGCTGGAATTTTAATAGCGAGATATATGGAGAGGCCGATAGAAATTCACTTGGATGCAACAAGAAGGATTCTCATATATCTCAAAGGGACATTGAGCCTTGGTACTTTTTCATGCTTGGATATGTGAACCATTTCATGGTAATTGCACAGTGATACTAATGTTCAGTTCAACCTAAAAAAACAAATGTCTGAGCCCAGGTTCGAACTGGGGACCTCTAGTGTGTGAGACTAGCGTGATAACCAACTACACCACCCAGACCTTGTTGTATACAATAATGTTATTTTAAACCTAAGGCAGAAACTTCAATTATTGTTATCTGTGAAAACATAAATCAACTTCATGGAAGTTAACCGTGATAGATGTATGGCGATGCTGTTTGTGGTTGTTCGATAAAAAGGTATCTACAAAAGGCATAGGAATTTGATGCCAATGTTATTCTCGGCACAATATAGTAAACAAGCAGGGAATGAGAAAATTGTGCTGGTTATATATAAAGTGAGAGATGCTTCTTCATGGACTTTATGATTCGAGTAAACATTATAGTAAAACACTATTTCTTATGATCATTTGGCACAACAAAGTTTGTGCTATGTCGTTGGATCCTAATCAATGCATGTAACTTTCCTACATTGAAAGGACTTCGACCACCATCACTGGACCTCCAACAACTATCACCAAGAAGATATCAATCATCCACGGGATCATCCATCGAACAACCACCACTTAGGGGAAATTGATCACCTTCGTTGTAAGTTATATTTTGAAGTTTTACTCTTTGTTAAATTGAAGTATATTTTGAAGTTTGATTCTTTGAAGTTTGATTCTTTGTTAGATTGATAAGTGTAAGTCGCATAGAATATGACAATTTAGAGGACCTACTATAATCAAAAGTGCAGATCCTATGATATAACAGAGCAACATAGTCTCACGTCTCACTAACGAGAAATAGTCTTGTTTAAATCAACAATACTTAGGTAAAAGGTTTCTCACTTGGTCGAAAACATGATAATCTTTTACTATTTTACCAAATGGTCAAAAGGTTAAAATATAGTGAAGAAAGAACCAGACTCTAATCACAAATAAAAAATGGTTTCTTCACATACATAACATTGTCACGTCTTGTTGTTTTGTCGTCTAAGTGAGTGTTTGATAACAGCAAAATTATATGATGAAAAAAATTATGTTAATACTACAGATCGTAGCTACATTGGTATCAAAAAACTAAACTCCAAACTGCTTGGCAAACACAAGCCAAGTCCTATTCAGGAGGAGCTAATATGATACACAGTCGAAGACAAAATCATAGTTCGGTGAGTGAAATCACTCAAAATCGCCAGTGTAGGAAAAAACCTTGTTAGGTGTATTGATGAAAACACTTTAACCAGTGTAGGAAAAAATTACAAACTATACGGTCTAAGTTACTCATTGTTGAAATCTCCATCAATACAAATAAAAAAAATTTAAGTCAGAACAATTAGAGACTAACAACAGTGCCTCATACAATAAATCATCCAAAGCAGTAAGGAGGTTAATATACAGAGCATATAAAACCAACATTGAGATTGTGCATCATTATGAATAAAACAGGACACTAGCATTTAAGTTTTAACTGATGGGCTCAAACAGGCCCATAGAAAGAGCACATAAAACAGGATAACGATTAACATATCTGATTTCAAATGGTGTTTAACATGACAAAATTTCATCAAAGTTCATTTCTGCAACCTAATATTTGATTTCACACCAATGTGTAACTGAAATCAGATGGTTGAAAACCCAAATATCCTAACAATCCATAAGTAACATAGGAATCCCTAATATCCTAACAATTCCCGCAATAAAATTGATAGATCCAAATAACACTGAAGTGAATAAATTAAAGGCGAGTGCAAATAAATAAAAACAACATATTTAAATCCCAAAAATATAGCATAGATCTCAATATCAAAACAGTCTAAACCAACAATAAAAAACAGCAAAAATTAAAAAAGGGCAAAAAAAACCCTAATTTGTTCGAAAACAATACCAAATAAAAAAAACTAAGCAGTAAGAATAACAGCGCCACCAGCCTCCTTAATCTTCTTCTCAGCAATCTTGGAAATCAGCTTCGTCTTCACCACAAAAGGCTGATTCTGAGGCAAAACCCCTTTCCCCAAAAGCTTAAAGTACCCATGCTGAGTAACATCAATAACCGGCGCTTTCTTCTCCTTAATCGCCTTATCCTTAACCTCTTGAGGAATCAAAGAAGCGAGCCTGTCGATGTTCACAATGGGGGAATAGAATTTGTTACGAAGCTTGTGAAAGTAACGCATACCGACCTTACCGAAGTAACCTGGATGGTACTTGTCGAACAGGATCCGGTGGTGGTGCATGCCTCCAGCGTTACCGCGTCCTCCGGGATGCTTTCGGTGCTTTCCGATACGACCGTGACCGGCGCTGACGTGGCCTCTCTTCTTCCTGTTCTTCTTGAACCTGGTCGTCATCTTCTTAGGGTTCTTCTCTCTCGATGCGGTGCTTCACCTGCTTCTGTGAAAATTAGGGTTCAGAGTTTTTGTGACTCGCCATTTTAGGTTATATACTGAAGTTTTAAACGGGCTGTTTGGTTTTTCTTATAGAAATGGGCTTAGCCCAAAATAAAAGAAAACTAACCCATGACGAAAAATGAGCTTGTGCATCTAATTTTGAAAATTAAAAATACTTTATAAGATTTCCTAAAAATGCCCTGGTTTTATTTAAATAAAATTCCGATTTCACTTTGAATTTTTTTTTAAAATATGTGGAACATCAAGATATCTTGATTTTTCTTTTCATGTTTTCTCTATGCAGCACGTTTTGAAACGGTATTTATATATTTTTAATATTTAAAAAGTTTACAAGCTCAAAAATTATAACGAAGTCGGAAATTTTTCTTCATCATTTCATTTAAATACTCTTTGATTATTTTATTATGGTGAAAACTTGTCTCAATGAGTTGTAGAGGTGCTAAAGGGCTTTTATGAGGAGAGACATTGAAGATAACAAACATCTTCATACAATTAGATGGAGTAAAATAGCTAAAGAAAATAAACGATGAGGATGAGGACTAGGAATGAGGAATGTTATGTTTATGAATAAAGTTTGTTTAGTTAAATTGGATTGGCATCTCAAGTGTGAGGATGAAACTCTGGTGCAAAGTCATAAGAAACAGATATATAATTCAAGGCCAAAAACTTAGAATTCACTATAGTGGTGAATTTATTGATGATGAACTTAGTTTGTATGTGTTTATCCTTGATTTTGGTAAGCACCGCTAGTCTCTTGTTAAACGTTACTTACGAGACTGACTAGGCAATCTTAGAGCAATGTGCGTGAAGTTTTTCAAATGATGTGTAGATGGTAATCGACAGTAATCGAAAGTAAAAGAGTGTGAGTGATTTCGACAGTAATTGAAATCACGTTGTGAAAATAAAAGCAAGTTAAACTAAAACTTTGACTGAAAAGGTAAAGAGTTCGACAATGAAGAACACAGAAACGTAAAATAAACTTGAAAGTAAAGTTTTGCATAAATATAGACCGGTGATCAAAGATACATTGCACCCTTGGAACTCATTTCTCTCTTCACTTGTTACTCTGAGATTTGTGAGTTTGATAGTATTTTGACACCCTTAATTCTACTATTATAGCTACTATTTATACTGAAATCTAAATAACTGCTAAAGACGGGTTTTTCTCCAGTAAACGCCATGTTCTCCATTATATGTCTTTTATTTCGAAAACCGCTTTCACGCGTCCATTCAATACGGATGCTACCAAAAAGTGGTTATTCAAGCACGTTGTACACTTCAACTGCCTCAGACAAAATGTCTACATTTGTTGCTTGGAAAAACTACTAAGTTCATAACTCTTTCTCCCTCCTGCATTTTGACACCCTAGTTCGCCACCTTCATATCGAAATGTTGTTAGCTTATATGTCAACCATGCTCCTGAACATCACCAAAATCTTCACTAAAAGTTTCCTTATTTTCCATTTTGTTGTGTTGAGATTTAAGGCGTATCGAAAATCCTAGCTAATAGTATGAAGGAGGACAAGTTGATGATTTGAAAATAGATGTTGACAAATGAAGTTTTTTGAGTTGATAGGTGTACTAAAGGAGTTAGGTTATAGGGATTGTTGAGACAATATATTATAAGGATCCCTCATTTGGGATGAATGCTTTGGTTGATGATAAAGGTGCATTAGAAATAGTTGATCTTTATATAGTGTGTTGTACCCCAAAATTTGCCCTCCCATATTCTTCAAGATTTGCCAAGATCAAGCTTCAAAATTCCCCAAGGGTTGCACAGTCCAATTGCCTCATAACACAGTCAAAATTAGGGTTTTGGTTCCTGCAAAGAAAATGAGGTTTCCAAGGGTCCAATCAAGTCCCACATGCCTATATACAGTGTCAAGCATCCATATGTCAAGTTTCAAGACTCACAGCATCAAGTTGCACAGTCAAAAACCTTAATTGCTCCACAGTCAACTGCAGGGGCAAAATGGTCATTTGACAGTCAAAAGTCAAAATTTTTGGTCAACATCTCATTTTGAAGCCACAATCATCGTTTGATCAATTCTTGATCATGATTTCACAAGCATGGCTCAAAAAGTCTCAAGATGCAAAAGTTTCTATTTTTGGACAGCTGAAAAAGTCAACTGCAAATTGACCAAGGCATAACTTCTTCATGGTTTATCAGAAAAATTCCATCCAATGCTCATTTTGAAGGGGATGACATTTCCTACAACTCATCTTCACACTCCAAGTCCAAGAAATGCTCTCACAAAAAGTTATCAATTTCAACATTATAGGTCATTTTCAAAAGTCAACAAAAATGCACTTTAAGTCAAAGACCATAACTTGAGATTGGTAAATAAAAATGACATGGGACCAAAGGCATTGGTTATAGGACTTCAATACCTTTCCAAAATGTCCAAGAACATGATCATAGCTTCAAAATTGAGCAAGATATGCATTGGAGAAGTTGGGAAATTTTTGGGAATTTTCAAAAGTCAACTTTGCCTAAAACACTTCAAAATTGCTAATGGGCCTCAAATTCTTCCTTGAACCATTACCCAAAGCCTATGCACGACCCATTGAGCTTAAAAGGATTTATTTTCTTATTTTTAATTAATTAATTGAATTTTTATTCTTATTAATTCATTTAATTAGTTTTAATTGTAGAAAAATATCAAATAATGCTTTTCAAATCTTTTTGTGCAGCAAATCAAACTAGGGCAAGCTGGCCAAGTCGTTTCACATCCAAAAAAGGAAAATCATTCATGATTGGCAAAGGTTTCAATGAAAAAAGATTGAAAAATATATGATGAAAATCAAAGATTCAAAACATTAATTGATGGACTTATGGGCTTATTTCTTGACCTAGAATCGTTCACATACTTATGCAAGACCTAACCCTATTCCACAAGACACGAAAAGCTGCTCACAAACTCATAACCAATTTGCAACTTTTCCACAAAAACTTGAAAACTAAAATCACACTTGCAGGACAATTCAAGGCTTGAAATTGCTTCTAATACGTTACTGGACCTTCCAGGAATCGATTAGCATCAAGAACCAATCCAAACACGCAAAGAACTGAAGAACATAGGCCACACGGTTTGTCTTGTTTTTCAAAATTGCATAACATGATTCATGAGCTTTTAACCATTTTTCTTGTTTGATTTGCACTAATAATGATCTTCTGAAGCGATTGGTACAGTTTAATTGGACTAACACTGCTTGTTTCAAAATCCACCATTGAAGAATATTAGGTTTTCAGAACATCCAAATTAGGGCTTTTCACATATGATAAAATAGGACCTCAAGACCAATATGGTTGAACTCATTGCAAGAAGCCTGATTCATTGAGATAATCGCGCCTTTTTTATATTAACTCCTCTCCTATTCGCTATTATTCACTGTTCCATTTAGTGGGGGTTTAAAACCCCCGCTACTTGTTTTCTATTTGCAGGAAGAACGAAGACGAAGCATGCGTGTCATCACGTTACTGGGAGATTCAAATATTAGCGCGTTTTTTCTTTGTTTCAGCATAATTGCCTTTTTTCATATATTATAATTCTTTGTTATATTGTATACAAACAAACGCAAATGGCCTGGTGGTTGAGGACGTGTACTGCAGGCATTGGGACCTGGGTTCGATTCCCAGGTCCCCCCACTTAATTCATGATTTATGTTATAATGCTTTCCTATGCAGCGCTCACTCAATGGCTCACCATGCATCCTCGCGCTTAAGACTGCCACGCGCCCATGTTGATTAATCCAAGGGCCATTGAATGAGATCCATGGTACATCCCAGTCAAGCACGTCCACCCAATCTGGAAAGTCAAACAAGGGCCTTGTCTTGATGGGCCAGAATTGCACAATTAACCTCCTCTCTGGGCCTGATACCCCCCTGGTTTGCATTTTTTTTCAATTTTATTTATAATTCTTTTTAATTGTTTTTAATTGTTTTCATTAATTCACCATAAAAATAATTTTCATAATAAAAAAATCAGAAACCAAAAATTGTAAAATATGTTTAATTATTATTAATTTCACCATTAAAATATTTTTTGTAAATAAATTTCAACAATTAACTTAGTTAAATTGGGTTTTAATTTTGACACTTTCCTTAATAAATAAAAATGCATAGAATTAGGTTTTTTGATATTTTTACCTTTTTTCTTAATTAATTTTTCCTCATTATTTAGTATTATTATTAATCATTATTTTTGTAAATAAATATGTAAATTAACTAATTAGTTTAAATTAGGTCAACTTTGATGTTTTATTAATAATTAAAATAATTTAGAACTAGGGTTTCCTTCTAATTTTAATTTTCTTTATTTTCATTAAATACAAAAACATAAAAAACAATTTATTTTCTTTAATTAAATAATTAAATGGACTTTAATTTAATTTAATTTCAAGCAAAGGGTCAAAACCCTCGGACGTTCAATTAATTCTTTTCGCGCATTTATTTTCTTTTAGTGATTATTATGTAGCTGCTCAATGATTGTAATAGTAATTAGGTCTTTTTACTTTCCGCATTTTATCAAAACGGGTCTTTGTATTTTGGCGATGTATAGACCCGCGCCTTGTAATAGAGTAGCTTTTATCTTTCTGCTTTTTAATTTTCCGCACTCCTAAATTCTAAATTGCATGAAAGAATGTATGCTAAACAAGCGTAGCTCACAATGCCCTGATCAAAGATAAATGTTAAACTGAAAACAACACACAAATACACACACCACTTCTAGGGTACGCCTCACCTGTTGCCTTCGAAACGTGGTCATCAAGTATAGGACGTTTTAGTAAGTCCTTATGTCCATGATCCAGTTGCCTCGAAACAGTTGCCTCAGAATAGTTGCCTCGAAACGGTTGCCTCGGATTAAAAAAGGATCAAGGACATAAGGGTAGCTTTTAAGGTGTCCTACCGTTGCTTCGGTGACCACATTGTCCCTACA